GAAGGAAGAGGGAGGGAGGGAGATTTCTCATTCTCACTGTCAGCTTCCCATAAGCAAAGTCAATTGGGAGGCTGGCAGCAAGTTGTAAGTAGCTCACGTTCCCACTGCTTTTTTGCTCCCTGCCTTTCTCCCTCCCTTCTTCTCTGTTCACATAAGGAAATATCTCTGAAAAGATGACCTTACAGGTCATGGGTTGTCTAGTATTTTTTGTAATTCCCAATAGGAAGACTTCCTTGAGATATCCCACTGTCCTCCTAGTAAATATATTTCTATGTTTATCTAGTGATGTTATCCTACTTGTGCACATATTTTCAATCCTGATATCAATATTGTAAATAATCCATATGCTCAAACCAAAGCGCATATGACCCTTCAGTTTACCAAGCTGAGTCCTAAATTGGATCCCCCACCCTAATCATTCTTGTTAAATGCTAAATATACGTGCTTATATATTGTTTAAAACTTCTTGCCAATCCTCTACAAAGTTCCAGGTGTTACATAAAAAAAAAGAATAAAAACATTATAGCATAAACAATATCAATAATACAACAGCAGGAGAAGCACAACACATAACAGCAATACAATTTTGAATTATATCTATAAAAACTCAAGGTCTTCCTGAAAAAAAAAGGACAACTTTTTTTTTTTTATGGGAAGGACTTCCCTTGGAAAGGAATTCTAGTTATTTGGCTTAGTTTCCATAAAGTATTGTTCTAGTCCCAACTAAAAGAACATCAGAGGCTATGGAGATATATAGGAGAGCCTCTGACGATCTCAATAGATGGGTAGTTTTGTATGAGAAAAGGGAATCTTTAAAGTATTGGGTCCTAAATCATTCAAGGCTTTAATATTATGTTGGAAAATGAATGGCTATGCAGCTGTTTCAGCATACTGTTTCCTAAATGTAGGCTGTGAACAAATACAAAACTGTGGTTTCTGAATATGCTTTAAAGGTAGTTCCAGCCTTCTGTCTCTGAAATCTTAACCTATAGGCACCTGTTACAATGAACACAACTCAAAGGCCTGATTGTGATATATATAAAGCCTTACATGACTTAGGAGTAGGTGATTTGAAATACTGCTTTTCCCATAAGAGTTTGTCCTTCTATTTTACTGAGATACCCCCTCTCCCCCATTTTATACCTTCTTTCACTTTGAATGTTATTGTAGTTGCATTACTGTACTGTTAGCTAGTTTCTGTAACATTTTTAAAAATATTAAGCATAAATCAAACAAAAAGCAAAAAAAAAAATGAAACTGCTAAGTAGTGAAAATGGGACCACAGAAAAACAAGCAGAAATGATCAGTATGTGCAAAGAAACCATGACATTTGCAAAAATACAAAGGATTTGTTAAGAACAGTCTAGTAAGGATTGGACATGTCAGCAGCAATGGAATGCTGAGCATCGAGCCCAGGAGGAAACTGATTTTTGGCTGGCTGGAATCTTGAATACAGTGTACTGCAGCATTTTTAAATGAAACATGGAATGCTTTGTGGAAAGGGGCTTCCCACAGGAGGTGAATAGCTGTCTGTTTCCTCCATCTCTAATGATAATTTCATTCTCAGAAATGTTCTTCACAGATCCTTATCAAACTAGAGTTGACAAACACATTTGCCCAGGCATTCTATGAATAAGTAGGTTAGAGACAGGCCCAATTCAATTTAGTATGTATCAGTATCCGTTAGTATGAGCCACATACAAATTCTAAATTGTTTACAATACTGAAAAAATTATATTAAAATATTCTCCCAGTATTTAAATGAATTTAACAAACATTCTTGAATTATGATATCCCAAACATTCACTTGCTAAAATTAGCAATATGTATAGGCAAAAGGGAGAAAAATATAACACAAAATTTTGCTCAAGTAAACAACTGTTCACTAGATGGCAGTACAGGATCATCAAGGCATACCAAATAAAGTAGCTATTACACACCTTTCAATCTAACATTGTGGCTTGACTTAAATGCAACCTTCTCTTAACCTGAAATGTAACTAGGAAAAGCACCATTGTCAAGCTAATTCCCCATGCTGGCTGGAGAATTCTGGTAGTTGGAAGTCCACCCATCTTAAACTCAGTAAGGTTGAGAAACACTGGTACAGATGAACAAGTGCACAGCTGAAGTATCATCTCCTTGCTACCTCTTCACATCCTTCCTATAACCCTACCTTCCCATCCTGGTGCCTTCCATGTCAGTTCAGTGTAAAGTCACTTAATTCCAAACAAATGTGGAGATAGCACTTTGCAGCAAATCATAGTTTGCTTTTAAGATCTAAATACAGTCATGCATAAAATCACATGGTGTAGCATAATGTGAAAAGAATATTCTCACATTATGACTGTGTTTACATCTTAAAACAATCTACAGCTTACAATGCATAATGGATGGGTTTATTCTAAACCAAAACCAGAGATCACATTGCAGGCTAGTTAGAATAATGTAGAGCTTCAGGCAATCATGGTGGGAGCTGAAATCGTATGGAGTCTAAGTAGTGCCACAAAACTCAATCTTCCCTGCCACAGAGAGAGAGAGAGATGGACAAAATAAGTAAGGAAAATAAATTATCTGACCTGTTCTCCCTTTCTCTGCAGTCAAATGTTTCCTTAGCTAGACAGCATGATCTGGCTGCATTTACATGACAAAATGAAAAACAAATGAGTTAAATATAAAACCTCCTTCAACTTGAGCTCATCCTCTGGTGATTTCACAAACACATCCAATTAGTTTCCCACTGCATTCCTCCAGTTTATTTTTTTGACATCACAATATAGCCTACTTATATGGGATTTCCTGGTAGTCTCCTATCCATTCACTCATATGATCTGACCCTCCTTAGCTTTTTATTATCAGCCAAGGTTGGCTAGAGGCTGTCACCTGGCTGGACAGGCTACAATCTAGTCAATCAGTTTTAGCCTAGATGTAGCCTGTGTTGTTAGTTCAGGGTTTAGTGCACCTTGCAAACTCACTTCAGCACACCTCGAAACTCCACAGTTCTTCCAAGAGGAAGAGCCCAAGCAGATAATAGGAGGCGAAGACAGGCAGCTGCCATTCCTTGATCCGTTCAAGCAACGGGAGGTGCCAAGGTCCCCCTGGGAGGGCGCTGCGCAGGGAGGCGGGGATGCTGTACTTTGGAGTAAGGACCACAACCCGTGTGATTAAGCTACTATTCAGGGTGAGTGTGGAGTGTGACCAACATTAGGTTACTTGGGGGACCATGGGTAGCTTAACCATGGATATACCTGTCGTGAGAAAAAAGCCCTGAGAAATAGACTGAAAGGCGAGGGCGAGTGCCTTTTTGCAGAGGAAGTGAAACAGGAGCGGAGGCCGGCCGGGAACAGGTGCACCGCATCCACTTGGCCGGCAGAGGGCGTGAAATACCGGGGCCACTCAGCTACACGTGACCCTCTACGGAGCAGGAGGCCTGGCTTCTCCACTCACCCGCAGCGGCCGCACTCCGGTCTCCGCGTGCTGAGCTCCACGGGCAGCTCCCAGAGGCCTTCACAGCTCTCTTCGCTTTCCTCAGGCTCATGAGTTGTAAGCTGCTGCTCCTCCCCGTTTCCCGCTGCTTCAATTGAGAACAGCCCCTTTTCCATGGCTGCCGCGAAGGGTAGCTCCACCTCAGGGCACTGCTCAATGCTTTGCGTGCAGAACGGGCCAGCTGTAATCCCTGGGGTCTGCAGGTAAAACAGGGAAAACTCCCTGAAATCCTTAGTAACCGAACCAGCAGCCTGGTCAACTTCTGCTTCCTTAATGGGCGGCTAAGGACACGTGAAGAAGGTCGCACTAGGACCAGTTCTGAACCGGCTAAAGCCCGAAACACAAACGTTGGACACGTGATTAAGAATGTCCCGCCTTCCCGTTCCTGGTATCCTCAACCAATGAAAAGGTGGTTTCTCATTGGCCGCAAGGGGGCCCAGCTGAAAAGCCTTCTAGTTTTGTATTTTGCTAGGGAGTGCGGGCGCGGCTCAGTATTATGTTCAATATCAAAAGTTTATTTGCAAATGCCTCACCTAGTTAGAAGGGTTTAATTCCAGGGAAGCGTGTTTAGAAATAAGAGTCTTGTAATCTGTCCCAACACAGCAGCCCCATTAATCTGATCTTTCCAACTTTCAAATCTTTGACTATACTCAGATGTTTACTCAACATTTTTATTTTTTAATTAAATTTATATGCCTTAATTTAATGCCTTGAATCAGTTGCCTTAATTTGAATGATACGGAACCATATGCTGATCACTGAAAGGGTTTACACAACATATAAAACTAAAATGCTGGCTAGTTTGTGGTGCCTTGTTTTTTTTTGCAGACATAACAGCTAGGACTTGCCACTCCCCAAATTCCCAGCCAGTGGGTAGTTCCAACATATTTACAGTGTGCCAGGCTGGGGAAAGCTGCATTAACACTTTGTAGTTGAAGCTTCAATCTTATGCACGTTTACAGGGGGATAAAACTGATTTGCCACAGTAGCATAGGACTACACTAAAAAGTTTTCACATACAAGTCCTTTGCCTACTGTAGTGAGTATTCCAGAAATCCTCATAATGGGCTGTGCAACACTTAAGATTCAAAAGCAAAAAAGTGCTTTAGGGTGTATGGAGCACATAGCACCCATCTGCATCTCCTTAAAGCATATATGTGGATCACACAGCTCCACAACTACAGCATAATACTGGGAAAAGTTGCAGGTGTCTGAAGGCACAGCAGGAAGGTGCTGTGGTCGTGCTTCCACATTCTTCAAAGCACTTTCTGTAGATGAACTCCAAAGCACTGTACAGACATACTAAAATTCTATTAAGAAAATATCTAAACTTCACAATTATGTACAAGTGCTGAAATCTGACACAACTATGTTAACTTGTAGTAATTGAATATCATCATGTACCTTTCATCATTTGCTTCCATTGCTCTCTGCACAAATACCATGCTTCGATATTTTTCAATATACTGTTCTGTTAGGGATCACAAAGTACAGCTAAATTTTATGTCTCCATAAATTTCCTTTTCTGCAGTTCCCTAATCACACAAAACTCTTCCTTATGCAGTAATCTAGCAGCCTATATATAGGAAGTTCTAGATTTCATTAGCTCAACAAATAAAATCTGGAATTACATGCCTCACAAAACAAAAATGTAATTTCCTTTTTTATGGCTTACTAAGTTATTGTGTGACCTTAGTGTGTGGTGTGAAACAGCCAACTGGGTATATTCATTAATCAAGGTTAAGAAAATCATGGGTTACACTGCTGTGTAAACATAACCTTATAGTACACAGCTATGTAATAAGGCAAGTTTGCTAATTGGAATTGTCCCATGTGAAACCAGAGTTGTAGTCTTGTACTTGCTTACTATTGAACATATTTGCAATGATTGCACAATATGCTTAGCCATAAATATAACAAATGGAAAAGGCTGTGTTTGTACCACATGCTAATCCAAAACAAATTATGGTTTAATGTGTCAGCCTGGTTAAAACAAGCTAAGCTGTAACATGATTTGTTTGAGTTTGGATGAATCAGTATGAGTTTGAACATGATTTCTTTGTCTACTACTGTTTTTTATTCTTTTATACTATATGCTGCCCGGAGTTGTTTTGGAGTCAGGCGACCTTAAATCTAATAAATACATACATGTGTGTATGAACAAATATATGCTTTAAACTACATATTCCGAACATTTTTAAAGCAAACACCAGATTGTTACCACTCTCATTTAATTTTGTGTTTTTGAAAGGTTCAGTCACCTTTTCTGTAATTTCTTGTCTCATTCCCACCCATCCCTTCATGTCATCTTCTAGAATATTTTTCTCTTAAATTGCATTCATTTAGAACAGTGGTTCCCAACCTTTTCTATGCCCCACACCCCTAGGAAATTTAATTAATGTTTGCACCCCCTACAAAAGTAATATCACATTTGAAGATGAAGTCTAATTTCTATGCGGGTGAAGAAATTGAACTTAAAAAAATAAGCTTTTAATTTAGTGCATAAAATTGTTGCATCCCTTGAAATTCCATCTCACACCCCCTGGGGGTGCAGGCACCCCAGGCTTCTTCTCAGAACTCATTTCTAAATAACCTGTCACTGCTCGCTGAAGCATACTATGCAATTACCACCAATCTATGGATTCCTACTTTCACACACACCACAGCAACCTAGATTGCCACTAACTCATGCTTCTTGACATACACTGTAGTCCTTTCACCCATAATTAAACCTTTACTTCTGTACATGTATTCACCAATTCCACTCCCCAAGATCAGACTCTCTTTATTCAGATCTATTACAGCCTTCTCTTCATTTCAGTCATACAACATATCTATTTTTATTTTATCTAACTAATTCTCTTTAATATTTTACTCTTCTTACATTCCAAGTCAATATTTCATTTGCCGTGATTGTCATGAAATAGATGCATGGATATTGACCTCTGCCACCCATCCTGCTTTTGGTCAATTAAGACTTTCACATATTGTTTAGTAATATAAAAGTATAGAGTAGGTTAGGAGCCTTAGTCTTACTATGCTATTTGGAGCATTCCCATCTAACAGTAAGTCCTTTACCAGTCAGTGTAGACATATTTTGGCTTATACCACAAATGTCATCAAAACCACTTTCACTGCAAGCATTATCAAGTTATTCTATACAATCCAATATACAGACTACTTTGGAAGTCAACATACCAACCCACCAACCAAGAACTATATGTGAATCACATCTAGGATGCACAGATACTCATCAACGTAAAAGCTTGGCTACTACAAAATTAGGATGTTATTCCTTCCTACTGTGCTTCATCACTACTTAGACCAGCCTTTCCCATCTTGGTACCCTCTGAGTATGTCAGACATCAGCTCACGTAATTCCCAGCTAAACTGGTTAGGTTGGGAAAGAGAGTAATTGACAGCCTACACACATATAATGCACTCCTAAATAAGTACTTCAATTTTCTTTTAGCATTCACTGCACAATAGCTAGAGAGAAACTATAACAGCACTCTGAATCTGATAATTTCTCACTATCTTTTCCATAATGTAACAGACTTAATATAACTTATATAAAAATATACATTTTTATCTGATTGTTGTACGCCGCCCAGAATCACTTCGATGAGATGGGCGGCTGTATAAATTTGCTAAATAAATCAATAACCCATCTGCAACTCTCAACTAAGGGTACATCTTTTACACGCGCAAAAATAAGTCCCACTGAACTCAGTAGGACTCTTTTCTGAGCAAATACAGAGGACTGCGTGTTAACAGAGGCAGAGAACCCCATTTGTTCCCACATTGTGCCTTGCTGGGTCCTTTGATCGGAACATTATAACTTTAACGACCCTAAGAATATAATAGCTCTTACGCTGCACGGAACTAAACTAGCACCACCATCGTGACACACATTTTATTCACTGCACGTGCCTTAATCTGACATTTATCCTAGAAGCACAAACATCAATGCAACCGCGCCATAGACCTTTCCCGCCAACTTCACCGACTGCCAAAAGCTGCCGTAAAATATCGCCGCGTGTCAACACTACGCATGCTTCCAAGCCCACGTGCACAATTGCCGTCTTTGAAAAGAGCGCATGCGTATGTGTACTGTCGCCCAACCTAGTACAGTACTGTATGTTAGAGAAAGGGAAAACAAAATAGGTTCGTTGGTTAAAGGAGCTACGTCATTGTTTCATTGATCTCGCGATGTTTCCTTGTATGAGCTTTCGGATCTTTCTCTCGCACTAAGACTGAGGGAGGAAGGCGTCTTGACGCGGAAGGAGAGCTCGCGTGCGCGGTTAGTCCGAGAGAAGATCTTGCTCTGCCCACGGCGGGGAGGCGCCTCTGAGGAGGCCCGCCCCACGCTATATGCGCCCGTCACCTCCTCCTGAGAGACTGAGCATCGGCCGAGAACCTCACAGCGGCTGGGCGGTGGGCTGAGGTGGTTGCGTGGCCGGCCAGCCGGCCTGGAGC